AAGTCGCTTCTCCGCGGGACGAGGATCGCTTCTCCGCGAGACGAGGGTCGCTTCTCCGTGGGACCGTGGTCGTTTTCTTCGTGGGACGAGGGTCGCTTTGGCGCGGGGCGGGGTGCGGCGGGGGGAGAGACCACTCCCAAGCGCACCGTTTGGCAGCAGCGGAGGTTGAGGTCCTGTCGGCCTTTTCTGGACTAGCCAGTTTTTTGTAGTCCGACAAGCCCGCTCCAACGGCTCGCCGAAATGCGCCCTGCCCTGCATTCAATAAATAACGAATCATATACGGCACAGCGGACTCCGACTTCCGACGAACCCCCATTTACACGAACGCACGCCCATTTTTACTCGGCACGATTTCGCCTTACGAACCTCGATTTAACATTCCTTTTCGATTTCGAAGGCTTTCTATGTTCAGCCTTCTAGGGGGGGAGCTCTGTAGCGCCCAGAAAGATAACTCTTATCTTTCGTGTACAATTTACTTGTTGACCGATTGTACATTACTCCTTCTTGTTTTAATCTTACAACCGGCTCGACAACACAACTGCCTTGTAAGTCCCCGCGCTCACGTGTACGCTCTTTCCTCGCTTCATCCGTCCGTTTCTTGTTGTAGTCCCATCGAATACAGTCCGCTGTGTCCGACTCCAATTGCCTTCTGATATCCGCGCTTAATTCCGCGCACCGTCTCGGACTAGTAATAACTAGTCCTACAAGGTCGTTTGTCTGGCTCGCCTTCCTGGCTTCGGCTGCTCTAGTGCTTGGCTCATTGTTTTTAGTCCCCCACGGCTCGCCGGTACGAACAGGATTACAGCCTCGTTGTGGCAGTGGATTGGAATGCGGTGGGGGCAGTGACCTCTCCCAAGCGCATCGTCTTTCAGCGGCGGCGAAAGGTCCTACCGGCCGTTTTCCTGGATTAGCCAGTTTTTTTGTAGTCCGGTGTGCCCGCTGGGACGGCCCATCGATGTTGCATCCCAATCCACAAGAAGATTAAATAATCTATATACTAACGAACTCCTATGATTTTGCCTTTTATAAATCTGCAAGCCAACATCGATCGA